CTGCCAACACCTGTTCCAGAGGAAACCCCTGTCAAACCCACATGATGACTTCTGCAGTAGCAGAATGCAGAGCCAGGGAAAGACCCAGACTAACAGTAACAAATGGTTACCCAAATGAAGAGCAGGGTCTGACCGCACCTAACCTTAAAAGATTGGTATGGGACAAATGCACAGAATCTAGGGTTGGGCTTGGAGTCATTCAGCAAGGGAAGCCTCTACATGAATGGCTGGGTTGTGGCTTATAGGAGGCAACACCTTGATTTGAAGGAAATCCAGACTACAGCACCTGTGGCTAACCAAGAGCTTTATCTCAAATGGCTTAGGAAAAGGGTTCTACAAGTTCTACACCCAGCTTGCCTATGACTTCTCTTTAAAAACACAAGGCTATGACAGTGACAGAGTTCTGGGGAATAGGGGGAAGCAGGGTTTGTTTTGGAGGTAGTTGAAACCTAGACAGGGCAGGTAGTGGGAGAGCTCTCAGTTCTCAGTGGTATGTAGCTTCAGGCTAGGCAACAGTCACTGCTCAGCACACGGTGCCTAAAACCCAGTGAAAAGCCCAGCCTTATTCTGCAACATGAGCAAGAGCATGAGCATGAGCATAGATAGCATCAAACTGTACAAATTAATTCAGCACCAGACCTCATTGGAGAAGTTCCTTGTGCAGTGGATGGTGGATGAGACAGAAACTCACAACTGGTCACAGTGGAGAGAGTAAGCATCATTGGAATGTTAACCTAAAAATGGAAATTCTGAAACACACACACACACACACACACATACACACACGGCTCAAAGTCCATTATACAATAGCTAGGGAGCCTGCATGGGACTGAACAGTTGTGTAGCTTGGTCTGTTTGTGGGGCCCCTGGCAATGGAACCAGGATCTATTCTTGGTGCATTAGCTGACTTTTCGGAGCCCATTCCGTATGGTGAGATGCCTTGTTCAGTCTTGATGCAAGGCAGAGGGTCCTGGTCCTGCCTCAATTTGATGTGCCAGGCTTTGTTGACTCCCCCTGGGAGGCCTTATCATTTCTGAGGAGTGGATGGGGGATGCGGGGAATTGAGTAGGAGTGGGAAGAGGGGAAGGAGAGGAACTGTGGTTTGAATAAAAATATATTTTAAAAAACAACATTGTAGGAACAGGACAGATAGCAAGTTCATAAGAGTCAGAGGTTGGGGAGGACCAGAGCAGAACAGTGTCTTCTGAAGAGACTGAACCCACAGGCTTACAGCATCTGTGAAGAGCTGTATAACACCTGTGCAAGATTGAGCCAGTCAACATTGCAGCATGGAAGGATGGGCCTCATGAGCCCCACCCCCAGATGAATGGTGTCTTTAAGGATATGGCTTCTGGTGGGTCAACCATACTCCAGTAGATAGTCCACAGGACTTAGTGGGCTGTTCTAAGACAAGAGAACATGAAGTTGGGAGGGGCTGGTGGGTCTGGGAGCAGTTACAGAAGTGGGGATGGATATTCTCAAAATACATTATACACATTATATATAAATCCTCAAATAATCAATAGAATGGTATATTTTAAGAGAAAGAGAACTGTCTTTCTGGCCAATAGGGACTAATATGCAGAAACAAGAACAACCATAGCACCTAGAGGAGTCAGGGGTAGACACCCACTTTCTGGTGCTATAAGCTCTACCCAAGTGTCTAGCTGACCTCGGGGAACCCCAGGTGTACAAGAGTCAAAGCAGTACAGCTAAACACAAAATATCTAAACTAAGATATGAGCTCTTCCCTCTGCAGGCAAGATGGAGTTCATAGTTAGCCAAGCATCTCCAGAGGGACAGACAGAAGCCAGAGGCCAGCAGCTTTCCTAAGCATGGCTGGAACCTCCTGTGTTGTGGAATATTTGTTTCCCCAGGCAAAGATGTATTATATCTGTTTATGTTGCAGAGTAGTACTTTAACTGTGTAAAGGTGTGCTACTTTTATTTATGTTGCATTTGTTTAATGATGTAAGGATGTATGCTTAATTATATAAAGATATATTGTATCGAGTTCATCTTGCCTGCCTAAGGCACTTGATTGGTCTAATAAAGAGCTGAACATCCAATAGCTATGCAGAGAAAGAATAGGCAGGGCTGGTGGGCAATGAGAATAAATAGGAGGAGAAATCTAGGCTCAGGTAGAACAAGAGAAGGAGGAGGAGAGAATGAATGGGACAAGAAGTCAGGCAGCTACCAGACAGTCAGAAAAAAGCAGTGAAAATAAGATGAAAGAGAGAGGGAGAGAGAAAGGGAGAAAGAGGTAAAAAGCCCTGAAGCAAAAGGTAGATAAAGAGAAACAGGTTGGTTTAAGTTAAACAGAGCTAGCCAGAAACAAGCCTAAGCTAGGCTGAGCATTTAAAACTAATAATAAGTCTCTGTGTCATGATGTGGCAACTGATTGGTGTCCCAAAAGAAAAAGCCTGTTACACACACGTGGCTGCTAAGTTTGGAGATGTGGCCAATAGAAGTGATTAACTGTTTTTCACTTCATTTAGTGCTAAATTTCAAAACCCATATTGATTCTATTATTGAGAAATGTCTAAGTATGCTTTTGAAAAGCTGAAGATATGAATCTTCTGTTTCAAGCAGAAGTTTCATGGGATCACAGCCAGATTAAGTATTTCCTATGAAGACACTGAAACTGTGTGTGTACTCACCATGTTTAAAGACTTTAGACATGAAAAGAAGGTAAAACACTAACAATTTCAACAAGTGAAAACATTGTTTTGAACATTCATGATTGAGGAAACCACTATTAAAATTAATTCCTGGGCCATCAAGATGGTTCAGGAGGTAGGGGGCTTGCTTCCAAGACTGACAACCTGAGTTCAATTCCTGATTGCATGAAGTAGAGAACTGATTCCCACAGTTGTCTTCTGATTTCCACATGCACTCCGTCATGTACACACACACACACACACACACACACACACACACACACACACACACACCAAACAATAGTAATAAAGGAAAGGAGGGAGGGAAGGAGAGAGGGAGGGAGAAAGAAAGAAAGTTCATTTAATCTATTATTCACCTTTTATGCTGGCTGCTAGAAAATTTACCTGTACGGCTCACACATTATTTCACTGGACCAATCTGGTCTATATCTTTATCAAACATACTCAAACATGAACAGCCATAAAAGCCAACCCTTCTCAAAAGGTAAGACCATTGGTGGGAGCCAACTCAGGGGTGAGCAACCATGTTAGATGTACCAGACAAGGGCCTGAGAGCAGCTCTTTCAACTGTGTTCAAGGAAGTAAGAGAGACAAACGGAAGAGCGAAATCCAAACGAGGAGAAATGGGAACCAAATGAAATTCTAGATGTCAATAAACAATGTCTAAAGTTGCAGGCTCAGGGGATGATGTACCAATAGCAACATGGAGAGTGTAGGAAAAACCCAGGAGGTTTGGGAATAGATAAATACCTGATATCCAATCTTAAAATTACAGAGAATATGATGTTTTAAAACAGAGACATGTAGGAGTCCACAGGGACAATACCAAATGCCAGAAAACGGAAAAGATGGGACTAAAAATATATTCGACTAAAAATGACTGAGAACTTCCAAAAAAAAGAAAAAAAAAGCAAAACTGAACAAAGGATAAACCTTGAAGAACAATGTGATATGCATAAGAAGAAACAAAATCCAGAACACGGGTGTTGTCTTGAGGCCAGGGCTTCACTAGACAGTCCAACTTGTTATGTAGCCCAGGCTAGCCTGGAATTTAAGATCCTGCTACCTTAGCTTCCCTAGTGCTGGGGTCACAGTGTGTTTCACTACAGCCCATTTAAATTGTTTTTTTAAGTCAGTGGAAGAAATGCAATGAACTCCTGGAGTTAAAATAAGAACTTGGTGACATCTACAGTCCACTGAACTACTGTGTTCAAAACACTTCATCCCCCTGAGTCAGTTACATGCAAATTAGCCTGGGTGGTGTATACATCAAATTCTAACATGAAATAGGCTTTTAAAAGTACTACCATAGCATGAAGCCAGACTGTGATTAAGAATGAATGGAGCAAAGCATGATTACATGTGTGTGCACATGTGTGCCGAAGTTCTATTCTCATGCTAGAAAGGATGCTGTGGATGCCCCAGCTGACTCTCCATTCTTGCAGTTGCTATGATACACACAAACTTTCTAATGCTGAAATCCTAGGGGGTTTACATTCCTTTACTTAAGGGTCCTGCAGGCTTGTGCTAGAAATATTTACTCTTTCCACCACCCTGGTTGGGGTAGACCAGTGATTGGCCCAAGGATCCTCACCTCCCACATACCTCTTCAGGCCTGGCATCATCCCAGGGCCTGTGCACACACATGCAGAGGTCACAAGTCAGCAGTGCCTTTCTTCCTCTGTCACTGGCTGGCTGTAGACCTGCCTGTCCCCACCCCTCTCCTTATCCCCAGCACTGGTGATAGATGCATACTACTGTGCCAGTTTATATGTGGTTCTGGAGACCCCAACTCAGATCCTCAAGCTTGTACAGCAGCCACCATATCTTCTACAATACCTGCCCCACCCAGAAGTTCACAAAATCCTCACCCAGAAATTGAGCCCAGGATGCAAGCCATTAATTCCAGCACTTGAAGGGCAGAGGCAGGTGGATGTTTGTGAGTTCAAGGTGCCAGCCAGATCTACATAGTGAATTCTAGGATAGCAAGAGCTACAGAGTAAGACCTTATCTCAAAAAATAAGTTGGCAAACAAATAAATATTTACATATATATACATATATATATATATATATATATATATATATATATATTACTACTACTACTACTACTACTAATGTGTGTAAAATGTGACACTGATCATGTCATCCGAATTGGCAGGAACTTGAGTGAATGAGGAACAGTGATCACAACTCCAGTTGCTCAAGTCGGCCAGTGAGAAGACAGAGCAGGCCATGTGCTCCTCTGCCAACTCCCACCCCCCTACCCCCCTACCCTCCTGTTTTCCCTAATATCCCATAATGAATGTCATTCGTCCTACCTGTGCCAGCACGTCCTGGAATTGCTCTCTGGTGAGCGGCAGGAGGAATGTCGTGATGGCACGCTTCAGCTCCCCCTTTGTCACCGTCTGGCTGTGGTTCGGGTCAAGTACCTGGAAGACCTTTTTCATTTCATCCCTTTTGTTGGAAATCTTTTGAGATAGAATCCGTTCAATGTCTAGGAAGGACAGTACTGGATTCACAATCGCTGTGGCTGTGGATGAGACAGAGATACCTAGTGAGTGCACTTAGACCAAGACACAACACAGACTACAGAGCCCAGTTCCCTCATTTCCCTGTATCTACTCACTTAATGCCTCAACAAGGAAAATTTATTTTCACCCCTGGAATTGGTTAGCAAAGGATCACACCCACAAGGGAAAGAGGTGAAGGTGACCTTCCCTACAAGGACATAGGATATGAGAAGAAAGTTTGAGGAGTAGAAGAAATGTATCTCATAAGTCAATCTTTATTTTTATAATTTGTGTGTGTGTCTGTGTGTGTGTGCATGCATGTGGTGTGCATATATGTGGTTGATGGAATGCCTTTGCATGCATGTAGAGGTGAGAAGACAGTGTGGGGGAGTAGGTTCTCTCTTTCTATGATGTGGGTCCCAGATACCAAATTTGAGTCACCAAGATCAATAGCAAAGTGCCTTTATCTGCTGAACCATCTCAACAGTCCTCAATGAATCTTATTGTGTGTGTGAGTACATGTATGTTCATGTGAGTGCACATAGATGAGAACATGCCAATGTAGGGGTCAGAAGTCAGCACTGGATGGCTTCCTCAATCTCTGCTCTACCTTGTTTTTTGAGATAAGGCCTCTCACTAAACCTAGAGCTACTGGGCAGTGGTGGTGCACACCTTTAATGCACTCAGAAGTCAGAAGCAGGTGGATCTCGGTGAGTTCAAGGCCAGCCTGATCTACAGAGTGAGTTCTAGGACAGCCAGGGATACACAGAGAAACCTTGTCTCAAGAAATGAGAGAGGGGGGAAAGAAGGAGGAAAGAGAGAGAGGGGGAGGATTTATTTAAACAAAAAACTAGAGCTAACAGACCAGCAAAACCCAGGCATCCTCCTGTCTCCACCTCCCTAGTAAGGGTTACACAACCACTTTTGATGGGTGCTGGGGATCTAAACTCAAATTCTCAGGTTTGCCTGGCAAGCACTTTATCCAAGAGCCATCTTCTCAACCCTTAAATCAACCTTTACAGCATCCTACCTGCCGTCTATGACCTTGACAGTTTTGGAGGAAATCTTTGACTAGGACCCTTTTCCCTTTCAAGGCTGGAGATGTGAACAGCCTGGGTGTGGAAACGTGGTGTGAAAATGTTCAACATACTGTGGGTAAGGGTCAGGGGCTCCAACTTCTGGGGGCAGGGGGAGTCCCATCTGCTGCTTCAGGTCTCATAGGTTCACAGGTCACCCATGAGAGGTGACAGGCTATAGGCCTCCATGACTTCTATTGCAGACAGAAACAATTGTGGAGATGCAATAATTCAATGAGCCCCAGAGCACCCATCAGAGCAGATGTGTAAACACAGAGCTCTCTGTTTGATATTCCACAGCTGGCTGAGCAAAGAGGATGCTAAGAGCAGTGGTTGGGCAAGCCCCTCATGTTTATTACTAAGGCCTTTTTCTTGCACAGTAGATTCCAGTGTGTGACAAAGTTTCAAGGCCTTGTCTTTTATATTCACAATGGTAGTCAGGGAGCCCAGACTCTAGCTACTTCTCTTAGAATATGCTTTTGTTTTTTAACCAGCCTGGGGCAAGTGAAGGATTTCACTTCAGGTGGCCTGGGCCAGATCAGAGATTCAGAAGGCCCTCAGTGACTTGTGGAATCATTTCCAGGGCTCTCTTGGGTCACAGTGTAAGCTGCCTGAACCATCTTTTCTCAAAGGTGATACAGGGAAGAAACATGGGCTCCCCGTCCATGCTGTGGTGGGTATCTGTTCGAACCACTCTCACCTGAGGTTAGGCTGTGGGCAATTCCTCTTTATCACAGTCAAGGGCTGTGCAAGTCCCCACTGAGAAGCCTAGGAGACTAGGATGCCTCTCACTCCCAATGCCCACAACTTCTCCAGGAAGGTAGCTAAACACCAGAATGGGAAATAAGATTCAAAGACAAGCTCAGATATATGAAGGCCACTGAAACCTAGAAAGGGGTGGCTGTTCTGGAGGGACCGAAAGAGGTGACATTGTGTGGAGAGGCTATGGAACCTATTTGCTATCTGTTATAAATGAAGGTAGTATCCAGTCCCTGGACTCTGTCCCTCTCCCTCCCTTCCTCTCCCTCTTTTCTCCCTCTCTACTCTCTCTCCTCTCCTCTTTCTCACCTCCCCCCTTCCTGATCCACTGTTATGTTAACAACACCCACCAAACACTCTGGTGACCTGAACTGTTCCACCATGATGGACTGAAACTCTCTGCAACAGTGAGCCTGAACCCCATCTTCCCATTTGCTTCTGCCAGGTACTGTGGTTACAGGGCTGTAACTGATTGACCCTGAGAAGCAGAGCAGGGATGAAGGGAGTGGGTGCTGTGGATGCAAGAGGAGTCCAGTGGAGGCAACACAGCCAAACACCACAGATGGTCCAACCCTCGGGTTTGTGCTCTGGTTATGGGATGTCACCATGACATTTCCATCAACAGAATGACAGAACCCAGTGTTGGCTCTCAGCTTCCCTCTATTCCTGCATGGAGGAGGAAGGACAGGTGAGGAGGCCAGAGCGTGGAGACAGGTCAGGCAATCCCAGCTGTTCAGGCACATGCTTATGGAGCTCTCCCCAACATGAGGGTCATAAGAGTAGATGGGGGAGATTTTAAAAAGCAGAGATCACAGGGTGTTTGATTAGATGTGTCATGGGAAGCAGGAAGACAGTGGAGCCCACACAGCCTGACAGGTTGGTCATGGTCTCCACTGAAAGGACAGCAAAAGATTCAGGAGATAGAAGTTTCCAAGACGGCCATAGTGAGCCCTCCCCATGCAGTCTTTGCTCACACTGTCACTCTGTGATAGAATACCCTGACAAAGCAACACAAGGCAGAGAGAGTTTATTTGTCCCATCATTCCAGGTCACAGTCTATCGCCCAGGGAAGTCAAGATAGCAGGGACTTGAAGCCATGGCCACACCCAGTCCATGGTCAAGAGCAGGCAGCAATGGATTAGATCGGTGCTCCCTCCCCTTTTCATGCACCCAGGGCCTGGCCCATGAAACTGTGCTGCCCACATCTAGTATGGTCTTCCTGCCTCAAGGAGCCTAATTAAGAAAATCCCTCACAGACATGGCCACACACATGGCCACTCCAATCCAGATAACTCTTCATGAGGCCACATCCCCCGCACACAGGTTATTCCAGACTGTGTCAGGTTACAAACTAACTACCACAGTCACACTGTCACTCCCACCAACAAGAAGAGGAAGGAGTTTACTCCGACTCCCACCCCTGGTTGTGTACAGCATCTGTGCCTGAGACCAATGGCACCTTGGGTGAGATGTGACACACTGTGTGTGAGGCTTCATCCCCCGCATTCTGCACCTGGGGCAGAGGAGGACAAGGCTTACGAGAGAATTCCTGAGTTCAGTGTGCGTGCCGCCTTGAAGGCTGAATCTATAATGTGGAGACCACAGAGCTTGGGGTAGGGCAGAAGCCTGTGGCACAGGAAGCAATGGGGGAGGAAGTAAGGAGGGTTATCCGGAAAACCCCAATTTTGGGGAAAGTAGGATTCACCATTCCAGAGCTGCTGACCAGACACCTGTCACTGTCAGCCCCTCCCTGTTCCTGGTGCCAAAAATACTGCAGTGGGCAGACAGACCCGGTCTACCATCTGGAGGGGACAAGACAGACAAGGGGCAGGCAGCCAGTATGCCACAGGGTGATGACAGATGGTTGTGAATGCAGCACGGATGGCAAGAGATCAGCAGTGTGGGAAGGTGTCACCATGGCCTGGTCTAGCCAGGCGGTCCAGGATCCCTCCCCAGGAAGCTTTGGAGCCAAGATCAGACTGTCAGAAATGAGCCAGCCAGCTAGCAAGCAAGCAAAGGTGACTATATTCTAAACATGACCATAGCAGCTCTGAAGAGCTCTATGTAGGAACAACCTGAGTCTATTTAAGAGAACAGAGGCCCTGGTGGCTGTGGGGGAAGGAGGAAGAGCCGGGTTAGGAAAGGTGGGGCACCTGCATGTGGGCTTCAAGCACCTGGACAAAGGATCTGGGTTTTGTTTTGTTTTGTTTTTGAGACAGGGTTTCTCTGTGTAACCTTCCTGGCTGTCCTGGAACTCGCTCTGTAGACCAGGCTGGCCTCGAACTCAAGAGACCCACCTGCCTCTGCCTCCTAAGTGCTGGGATTAAAGGTGTGTTCCACCACTGTCTGGCCCAAGGTTTTCTTAAAATGCTAGAGAAAGGCCTAGGGATCATCAGGGAAGCAACAATACATCATTCTGGCTACTACAGAGAATGGACTCTAGGGACAAGAAACAAAGGAAGGGCAAACAGAGACATGGTCAGCTGGCTCTTGCACCAACCAGGTCTTGCAGACAATGTGGCCTGGGGACAGGCAGAATCTGAAGAAGTAGATCAGGACCCTGCCTCATGCTCAGTGTGAGGAACTTGACCAATGATGGTGCCAGTGGATGAATACTAGGACAAGTGACCTTGTGAGCTTGTGCAAGGTGTCTGCAAGGGGCAAACAGAAAGCCAGTCAAGCAACAGGTATGTGCCCTGGAGCCTAGTGGGGAAATTAGCATAGAACTGGTTAGGTTGCTTACACATGACATTCCATGACAGAGCCAGGAGAGCGACAGCAGGAGGACCAAACACAGAGGCTGAAGGCAGAGGAAGGCTCCAGAGCCTGCCACCAGACCCCTGAGGATCTCAGCAAGGCAGGAGCCCCTCCACTCTCCCATGTCCTCTTTCAGCCGCTGAGACTCTCAGCAGCAGCTGGTTCCCACAGAGGAGCTGTGTGGTGAGAATCAGCTAGAGTGACAGCAATTCCTCTGCTCGCTGGGTGTCACAGGGGACCCTCTTCGCAATGCGTGCTGCCACCCTGAGATCTCTTCTCAGACTTTTTGTGTATTTTTTAATTGCTTTCCAAAAAGCCCCAACTTGGCACTCAGAGCTGTGCTTTAAAGGCGGCAGACAGTATTAACTGGAAACTATGTGGGAGTGCTGGAGAGCAGCTTCTGGTTTCACAAGCCCCATGCAGCCCCTCAGACTAGAAATGAAAGCCAGACCCAAACCTCCTCAACAGCTGCCAGGAGGGCCAAACAACGCCATCTAGCCCTGTCATGATAGCAAGCAAAATGAGTTAAGAATATGTACAGTTTCCAACCAAGCCAAGACCCCAAGATACAACAGAAACCAAATATCACAAAGGACAAGTTGCTCCTCAACAGCCCAGAAAGATGGTGCCTTCTCTCCACAGAGAGGAGGGAGCAGACGCAGCACAGGCGAGAAGAGAAGGAAACAACCCCACATTCAGTAGCCACATGTACTGATGGGCAGACAATAATCCAGGGCCTTGGTCACACGCATGTGAGGAGCAGCTGGGCAGGTGGCAGAGAGCTATATAACAGCACCCTAGCACATTAGGTCTCCCACAGCCAAGGCAGCTATTCTCCAGAGGCTGGCTACAGGGGGAAGAGGCAAGGCAAATCCCTGTGGAACACATGGCATCTCTGCCCATGGAATATCAGGGGACTGCTACAGGTTCAAGGCAAGGCAATTGTGGTGGTTTGAAAGTTGATGACCCTCACAGGGAGTGACACTATTAGAAGGTATAGCTTTGTTGGAGTGGGTATGGTCACTGTGGAATCAGGCTTTGAAGCCACAGCCAGTGCTCAGACCACTTCCTGTTGCCTGCAAGCCAAGATGTAGGACTCCCAGCACCTCCTCCAAACCATGTCTGCCTGCACGCTGCCTTGCTTCCCACCATGATGATAATGGACTAAACCTCTGAATTGTAAGTGAGCCACCACAATTAAATGTTTTTCTTTATAAGAGCTGCCATGGCCATAGTGTCTCTTCACAACAAAAGAAACCGTAAGACAGCAACAGCTTCTGCAAGTCCCTCCACTTGCAGAAGCTGTTGGAGGAGCTGGCAAAAAAAAAAAAAAAAAAAAAAAAAAAAAAGTTTGGATATCCAACCCTGCCACCACGACCAAAATCTAGGAGAGCTATGATGCAGGAGATGGCCCCTGGAGACCCAGCTAGCAGATCATGTGCTTGGCTTAGTATCAGACTACATGGAATGAAAGAACCAGCGAGTGTGAAGTTGAAATACAAAGATAAAAAAAAAATTTAACTTACTATTTTCATCTGTATTGTGTATGTGTGTGTGTGTGTGTATCCTTGTGTGCCACCTGTATGCAGTGCCTGCAAAAGCCAAAAGAAGGCATCAGATTCCCCAGAGATGGAGCTGTAGGCCATTATGAGCTACCTGATGTGGGTTCTGGAAGTAGAACTCCAGTCTTCTGCAAGAGCAACAAATGCTCTTTAACAGCTGAGCCATTGCTCCAGCCTCGGATACTTGATATTATCTGCTTGTACAAGTTACACAGCTACATCTACAAATCCATGTGCAATCATGGACAACAGAGTGCTGAATTATTGGTGGTGCCTACTGGGAGGGGAGAGTGGTGATGCCAAACGAAATTAATGTTCTGTTGGGAAACTTATCAACGCATGTCTGTGTCAGTATCAATAATATTCTTTGGGGAAAGCACATATGTACCAGCTTCTGCAGGGTCTTTCAGTAGTGTTTAAGAACTCTGGCAGATGGATGCCTGGACTCAGTAGCCCCTTCACACTAGTCTCCTTTGTTCCATCACATATGTCAAGTATACTGAGACCAACCCCCTGCACTGTTCTGTAGACATGAAGCTATGAGCTGGAATGGACTGGCATTTTACTATGTCATTTTTTTTTTCATCAGAAACCACATTAACAACAGACCCCAAGTTAAGGTAGACAGGTGGTCGTTGTATATCAAGCCTGTATCCCCAGGATCATTAGTAGACATATAGGATCATTGGAGTAAAGTCTCACTAACTATCAACAAGCATGTGTCCAGTGAAAATAGTGCCTGTCTGTGCATACCGGCCGTATCCATTTGTCCTTCACAATTCCTTCCCCCTACTACATCCTGCATCCTTTTGATTTCTTGCTTGAATCCTCACTGCTGTGTGCATACTTCGGTTTGCCTCATTTCCTTCTCTCTGGCTACATTACCTGCAGGGCTGGCCTTTCAGCAGTCCCTTCTCAGCACCTACCAACAGTGCTCATCCTAAACCAGAGCTCAAAAAAATGTTTGTAAGGGTATATATGGAGAGTATCAGAACATAACTCATGACATGCCTTTAACTGACACATCTCAAAGTAAATGGTGTCTGTGGACAGTGTGGTAGTCACTTGTGAGAGCCCACTTGGTGTCTGTGGACAGTTACTTGTGTTGTAATTATTTGTAAACACTCACTTGATGAAGAGGGTCTGCACAAATCTTGGAAACCAGTCTTTGAATACACTCTGCATGGTGAGGAGTGGGGGCGGGAATATGTCGGCTTCCGGGTCCTCGGGTACAGACTATGCCAGTCTGGTAAGATTGCCATTTTGAGCATTAAATCCCTTTGAGAGGAAATAGAGAAAATTACAGCATCTTCATCGTGCAAACATGACCTACTTCCAGGATGTTCCTGTCTGACCATTCTTAAGGGGAACACCAAATCACGTTTAGACTGTTTTCAGCAGATCCAAAGAACTTCAAAAGGGCAGAGATACAGATTGTTTAAGTGTTGTTTTCTTGGTTCCTCTGCTTAATCATGGGCTTGATCTTGTTGTTTCTTCCTGTTGCTTCCTAGCTATGCCTTTCCTCCTCAAGTCTGAAGTGTTCCCTTCCCAGCATCCTTTGCAGTACTGATTTAGTGGTCATTCCTTCAACTTGCTCTCATCATGAAATGTTTTTCCTTCTCCTTCAGTTATGACAGATAGTTCTGCTGGGTATAGTAGTCTGACTTGGCACCTGTGGACTTTCAATGTATGCGTGTATGTATACATATATGTTTATGTGTGTGTGCGCACACACACACACACGTATGTATATTTTCAGTGTTTCATCAGCCCAAGCCAATCAACACCCAGCACAGATGGAGGGGGAAAGTGAGGGGGTAGGAAGAGCTAGAGGAGGGGTGAATGTGATCCAAATACATTACATATATGCATGAAATTCTCGAAGAATAATTCTTGAAATTAGAGATCCATTAGTACTGCTGACTGATTTCTGGGGCAGGCAGTAAGAAGTGAGAAGCACTGGGGAGGGGAGGCAAGCAGCAGAGGGTGAGCTTATCTCAGAAAACAAAAGAATGTTCAGTCTCCCAGTGCTCAAGAAGAGCAGTACTGCTAACAAAAAGCAGCAAGAACAGGCATGAGGACTCCACGCTAAACATCTCCAAATGGCACCCAAGAGTCTCCAAAGACTATTGGCACTATGGGAATGAATCTCACAATGATCTAGTACCATGGACAGAGCCAGATGTCAGGGCTGGCAAGAGGGCTCAGAGGGTGAAGGCACTTTCTGCCAAGCCTGACACCTGAGTTCTATCCTCAGGCCCCCTGTGGTGGAGGGAGAGAACTGATCTCAACAAATTTGTTTTCTGACATCTACACATGCACTTGCACCCTGTGTGCACACATGTGCATGCATGCATGTGTACACACAGAGAGAGAAAGACAAAGAGCCCACTCCTACAAGTTGTCCTCTGACATTCATATGTATACCATGGCATATGCCCACACACATACACATACAAGCAGCATGATTTGTAATAGCCAGAACCTGCAAACAACCTAGATGTCCATCAACCAAAGAATGGGTAAAGAAAATATAGTATATTTACATAGTGAAGGATTACTCAGCTGTAAAAAAAAAAAAAAAAAATGACATTTTTAAATTTACAGGCTAATGAATGAAACTAGGAAAAAAACATCTTGAGTGAGGTAACCCAGACCCAGAAGACAAAAATGTTATGCATTCACTCATAAGTGGATATTGGGCATAAAGCAAAGGATAACCAGCCTACAGTCCACAACCCAGAGAACCTAGGTAAAAAGGAAGACCCTAAAAGGACATACATAGAGGACCCCAGGAAGGGAAAATAGCCCCTGGTTAACTGGAAGGGGGTAAAAGGGAAGGGATGGGGGATGGGCACATGAGGGATCAAGAAGGCCAAGTTGGGGAAGGAATGGAGGGTGAGAGCAACAAAAGAGATACCTTGATAGAGGGAGCCTTCATGTTAGGGAGAAACCTGGTGCTAGAGTAATTCTCAGGACTCCACAAGGATGACCCCAGCTAAGACTCCTAGCAAGAGTGGAGAGGGTGGCTGAACAGGCCTTCCCCTTTAATCAGGTTAGTGACTACCCTAATTGTTATCAATCCTAGAGAGAGTATCTAAATGGGCCTGCCCCTTAATCAGATTAGTGACTACCCTAAATGTTACCATAGAACCTACATCCACTAACTGATGGAAGAAGATGCAGTGACCCACAACCAAGCACTTGGCTGAGCTTCTAGACTTCAGTTGAAGAGAGGGAGGAGGGATCATATGAACAAGGGAGGTCACAAGCACGGTGGGAAAACCACAGAGACAGCTGATCCAAGCTAGAGGGACATAGACTATGGGCTGACATCTTGGGAGTCTGTATGGGACTGAACTAGACCATCTGAATGTGGGTGACAGTTATGTGGTTTGATTGTTGCAGTAGGGAGCTGGCAGTGGTACCAGGACCTATCCCAGGTTCACGAACTGGCCTTTTGGAGCCCATTCCCTATGATGGGATACCTTGTTCAACCTTGATACAGTGGGGAAGTGCTTGGTCCTGTCCCAACTTGGTCTGCCAGACTTTTGTTGACTCCCAAAGGAAGGCCTTACCGCTCTGAGGAGTGAATGGAGGTGGGGATGGGGGTGGTAGAGTGGGAGAAGGTGAGGGAGGGGGAACTGAGTTGGTATGTAAAATGAAAAATACATTTTTTTAAATAAAGAAGAATTAAAAGTCACAACTTCATGGATTAGTAGGCAATGTAGCAAAATTTTGCTAGCCAAACCTTAAAGAGAAAGCTGAGGCTCTGAAAAGTTTCCCCATTTTTCTGGAAATCTAGGAGGCCACCTAAGTGACCAGGGGACCCCAAACTCTCCCCTCAGGCTGCCCTTGAAGGTTTGCACAACCAGTGAAGAAGGCTGGGCAGAACTGCCCATGCCTGGCTGGGAGACAGGGAATGAACGTTCCAGAACATGTAACACCCAGAAAACTTGGGATACTGGCTGTTCCCAAGCACTGAGAAAATGCCCCACCATAAGCTAACTACGAAGATCATCAACCAACCACACTTGGGGGCTGGACAGAGTAGAGGCCCAACCTTACAAAATGAGTTTAGAAAATTCACCAAACATGAAAGGTAATAAATAAACAAACAAATAAATAACAGAAGGGATGAGAACATGACTGCCATGATTTCATCCATGAATTATTTCAAATGCCAAGTTTTAAACAAAAATTTAGTATGGTCCAGGGTTGGAGAGATCGATGGTTCAACTGTTAAGAATGCATAAGGAAGACTAGAACTTGGTTCCGAGCACCCACATTAGATAGATCACAACCCCCTGTAATGCCAGTTCCAAGGGATCTGACCTCCTCTTCTGGCCTGCACTCATGATTAACACATGCTTTAAAATAAAATAAATATTTAAGGGGAGTGGGAAGACAGGAGGGAGAGGGAACTGGGATTGGAAAAATAATTTAGTAATTAAAAATATAAATAAGTCTTTGAAAACAAAATTTAAATGAAAGAATGGTCCATACATGCTTACCTTCAGAAGCTAGGCCATCAAGAAGAGTTCTATAAAAATATATTGTATGAAAAAATGTTTTTCAATTAAAAAATCTTAAAAGAAAAAGTACACAAGCTAAGTCCTTTTGTATCCAGCATAAAAGTAAGGGAGAAATGAAGGCTTCCTTGGTTCCATGAAAATTCAGATAATCATCACTAGCAGACCTCCTTGCAAAAGCTCTCAAAGAACATTTTCAGAAACAAAGAAAAGTTACACAGGTCAGAAATCATACCAATAAAACCAGAGTGCTTCAGACAGGAGATGCAGATGTCAAAGAAGCTATGTGCTCCCAGAACAGAGCCTGATACATGGCAGCACCAGACACAACCGGGCAGACAGGGAAATAGACATTTCAACAACCATGGCTGGAGACTTCCATACCCACCATTAACAGTGGCCAAACTACTTAGAAGATGATCAATGGTTGGAGGGATGGTTCAGTAGTTAAGAGCCTTGCTGCTCTTCCAAAGGACCTAGGTTCATTTCCTAGCACACACATGAGACTCACAACCCTGTTACTTCAGTTCCATGGTGGCCTCCATAAGCACTGCACATACATGATACACATCAGGCAAACACTCCTACACATAAAATAAAGCAAGCCTTAAAAGTAAGGCCAAGACTTGAGAGTCATTAAAGCCCCAACAAACTGGCAGATGCCTGCAGAACACCTACTCACTGGGATACAAATTTTTCTCAAATACAAAGGAGATCATTCTCCTGATAGACTATATCAGGAGATAATTGCCTCAATAAACTAGTCCCAATAGACAGTATCAGAAGAAACTTGCCTTGGGGGCTGGAGAGATGGCTCAGAGGTTAAGCAGTACTGGTTGCTCTTCCAGAAGTCCTGAGTTCAATTCCTGGCAACCACAAGGTGGCTCACAACTATCTGCAATGAGATCTGATGCCCTCTTCAGTTAAGCAGGGGTACATGCAGATAGAGCACTCACATACATAAAATAAAGAAGTAAAAATTTTTTTTAATTTAAAAAACAAAAAACTTGCCTCAGTAAACTTAAAATGATTGAAATCTTCAAAATATGTTCTTAAACCACACAGAAATGAATGTCAGTAACAGACAACAACTAGGTCATTTACTGTGTGTGAATTAATATGTTCTTCAACAGCCAGATGGTCAGAGGAACAATGAGAATGCCCACATCACTGGGTGGAAGGTGAAGGAAAGCACACAAGGGGTTTATAAATCAACACAGACATTTGTGATACAGACACTTACATTTAATTATTCACCACTGGCTTATTCAGTGTGCGCTTGCACGCCACAGTGTACATGAGGAGGTCAAAGGGCAGAGAACAATTTACAAGTCATTTCTTCTTCCACCATGAGGATCCTGGGACTCATGTTCAGGTCATCGGGCTTGGCAGCAGCACCTATACCAGACAGCCAACTTGCTGGCCCCAGGTACCTATGGTTTTTGTTTTAATCTTGTATAAATAAACTAAGCTTCTTCCCTAAGAAAGAAAAATAAAACCAATGCCACCAAATGGAAGGAAATTTGAAGGCTGGGGGCCTAAGAAAAGCAGAGAAAAGCCACAGAGCAGAAAGGTCACTATTTGAAAATATTAGCAAAGTTGATAAATACTGGGGTGGGACAAGAAAAAAATAGAAAACACCCTTTAAAATTAGAAATGAGTGAAACATTACTACTCTCCTTCCAGAAATAAGGATCCTAAAAGACATTGTACAATTGGGCACCGAGAGAAGACAGAAGTAT